ATGGAGCTCCACCATCCATCACCCACCAGCCTCCACTCACCACCCACCACCCACCAATCACCATTCGCCACGAGCCCGGCCTGCAGAGAAAGCTGTCCTGTCATTCAGGTGAGCGCACCTGCTGAGTGGACACTATGCTAGCCTCCGCGAGGGACACTCAAATGTGTGAGCTGTCACTCCTGCCACTTGTCATCAGCTCATGGGTGAAAAAGCATGATCACTGTAGCACGTTAGACGGAGGCATCGCAGCCTGCCTTCTGAGAACAGACAGGGTCCCACAGATGGGCTTACGGGGCTGTAAACCCCTAAACTGCGTGCGATACCAGCTGTCAATGTGCATTTTCTGGGAAGAAATCCTAGTATGTTTGCTAAAGGACAATTTTTAAAAGTAAAAGCATGACTCGCATAGAAAGTATCAAATGAACACATGACACATATTCTATTTAATTCATCAATTAATGAGGGAACCAGTAAGATGTTGAGGAGAAATTTAAGGAGGAATTTAACAAAAATTTGAAGTACAACACATTTATGGTAATAAAGGAATACTGAGAAGTAGTCACAAATAGATGCAAAACTAGCAAAACCGACCAATATCTACAGGGCAATAATCGATGGCACCCCACCTAACAGAATATGCATTTCTACTGGTAAGAATTATCTGCATTCTCTCGGTTTTCTGCAAAGTTACAGAGTTGTAAAATAGCTCAAAGCCAGTAAAACAGCGAGATCGCCTGAATGGTGAACTAGACCGGCACCCACCAATCCCGCTTTTATTTTTTAACCCATTTCAAAGTCTTTCTGAATCTTTCCCTACAGTCTTCCTTGTGATCATAATAATATCACCAAAGATTACTGCCAGTCACAAGGTCAGGTTGGTCTCATTAGGCTTGGCCTGACTGTTTATACAGTTGCAGCAAGTGTGTTAATTTGCCTTGTCAACGGGCCATGATAAAATTGAATCAGAAATTAGCAACCCACCACAGAAGACAACACCAGGTCCAGACGGTTTCACTGACAGATTCTATCACAATTTAAGAAAGAAATGATAGCATTTCTGCACAATCTCTTCCAGAAAATAGAACCGATTCTAGAAGGTCAGCGTCACCATAAGACCAAAGCCAGGTAGAGACATTTTAAGAAAGGAAAGCTACAGACCAACATTTCTCATGAACACAGATACACAAATCCCCAACAAAATATTAGCGAACCAAATCTAACTATGTTTGAAAAGAACAATATGGGGCACCTGGGTGGCTCAGTCAGTTAAGCATCAGACTTCGGTTCAGGTCCTGATCTCACAATCTGTGAGTTCAAGCCCCGAGTCGGGCTTTGTGCTGACAGCTCAGAGCCTGGAGCCTGCTTCAGATTCTTTGTCTCCCTCTCTCTCTGCTTCTCCCCCCGCTCACACTCTGTCTTTCTCTCCCTCTCAAAAATAAACACTAAAAAAATATTAGGGGCGACTAGGTGGCTCAGTTGGTTAAACATTTGACTTCAGCTCAGGTCTTGATCTCACGGTCTGTGGGTTCAAGCCCTACGTCAGGTTCTGTGCTGTCGGCTCAGAGCCTGGAGCTGCTTCAGATTCTGTGTCACCCTCTCTCTCTGCCCCTCCCCCACTCGCGCTCTCTGTCTCTCAAAAATGAATAAATGTTAAAAAAATTATTTTAAAAAAATTTTTTAAATTTTTTAAAAGAACTATATACTATGGGCAAGTAGGATTTACCCCAGGTATGCAAGGCTGATTCAACATTCAAAAATCTATCCATACAATCTGTCACATCAACAGGCTAAAGAAGAAAAATCATACGATTCTATCAATTAATGTAGAAAAAAACTCCATTTTTTAAGTCTCATGTGCATCTTGCATTGAAGGCCACTGACTTAGAAGATGCTGGGTTTAAATTAAAGACTGTGGCCCATCAACATTTGAGATGATGCCTGAAACCCGGCTGAGAACAGCAGCCTGCTGTCGCCTGATAGCCCAGAACTCCAACCATTCGTTAAAACTGGGCAGTGTTAGAGGACACTGTGGTTGGCGAGGTCCTGACAGATGCCCAGGGACTGCCCACAGAGACTTCCAGTTCTGCAATATGTGTATATTAATTAATTACATTTCAGGTACACGAATTTAACCTAGGCAAGGCTGAACACCTCTTCTGCTCTTACCACTCTTCCCTTGAAACTGAGAGACTCTCAGGGTACAATGTCACCGGAGGGAGGAAGTGGAGAATCTCACACCTGCGCCCTCAGGAAACCGAAACTTGAGAACTGACATACTGATTCCCCGAAAACACGGGACTTTCGGAAAACCGCAGTCACCTCCTGACCGATGAGCGCCACCAAGAGTCTCTGCCCATCCCAGAGCCGGGGAACTCACTGCTGGGACTCGGGCTGGACGCCCCCTCTTGACGCTCCTGCCCATCCGTGACCATCACCACCCCGGACCTTCCACGGGGTCGTTGCCACCTGCTACCGTGTGTATGTCCCCAGCTGCTGCTCCTGAATGAACCCAGTTTCTGGTCACTTGAACCTGCCTCAGTTTCCCTCTGTATTTAAGTTGACAAAACTTTGCAATGGTGGTGACTCTGGAGAGAAAAACGTTTCATTGGAAAACTGTGGCACACCCTTGTGCACACCCAGGACTGGTTCTGTTCGTTTTCGTCAAGGTTTTGTTACCTCCCTGTCACCTGGACCGTGTACATATATAAAGATCACTACGCTGTGTACCTTAGATGCACACGATGTTATATGTCGATTATATCTCCATAAAACTGAACTGGATCCTGAATTCTAATTTCCTCCCAATATCCAACCACCACTCTCCAAACCAACGTTTCCAATTTTTCCCCTGCTCCTCTGTCTCAGAACTGCTAAAAATTAAACCTGTCCTTTTCCGGAAGCCCTGCAAATAAAAACAGGACAGCTCGATACAAACTTCAGAGAAACCACGGACACAGCTCATGTCTGGACAGCCTTCCCATCTGCTGCTGTGGGGGCCAGTCAGAAAGTTCGTGTTCACTGGGACATCTGATGACATCACCAGAGATGATTAAAAACTACAAGCCAGGAAAATCCGTCAGATTGCCAGCAGCTGGCGTCACTCCTTCTGAAGATGCTTTGAGCGCGAAGCCTAAAACTCTCCAACGACTGCCCGCTGGACTCCGAAACCGCCTGTAGTTTGTTCTAACCATTAACCTTTGTTTTTGTTTCCATTCAAATACCCAGGACTTGGTTCAATGGGTATGTGACAATCTTCTCTGGACGTGAACCTTGGGAAAGTTTCAGATGGGAGAAAGATGAGGCTCCAGACAAACCACTCCAAACTATGTCACTCTGGCACACTGACTAACTTAAGCTGAAGGAGTTTGAGAAAATGGCCAAGGCAGGTAGGTCAGTCTGACCTCTACCTGCCTCACCCTTGCCCCCTAAAACAGGTCATAAGAACGTCATATGAGGAGCATCCTCCTTACACCCAGAGGAAAGGAGTGTCTCTAACTCTGAAGACAAAGGGAAGCCCAACAAGCACCCCAACAAGCATGCCTCACTGTTTCCCAGGGGCCACTGCTCTCCCATGCCTACACCTGTCCTGTTCCTCCCGCACTGCCCACTCCTCATCCAACCCAGCATAAAACACTCAACAAACTGTGGGACCCAAGGAATTTAACAAAAATCCCCTACCCCTGGACAAGCAGAGCAAGACTAATTCCATTTTGTGCTACACCCACCATCTCATGTATAACCCCCACATGACCTACTTATTGCTTAAGACACTCCCCCACCCTAGTCAAGCCACTGAGCACACCCTTACTGGAAACCGGCTCATATAGGAATGCCGAACCCCTAACCGCCAAAGAATGTAAACCCCGCCTTTTGCCCGCCAAACTTGCACGCCAATTCTTAAACCCCGCCTTTTGCCCACCAAACTTGCGTGCCAATTCTGACCAGAGTGATGGGCTAGTTCAAACAGTTACTATAGCGTAAATTGTAATTCAATTGGCCACCTGCGTGTGGACTGACATGACTATGCAACTTTCTGTGTGTGTTACAATCTCATTGGCCACTGGCCCCTATAAATCCGCTACACCTCTTAACCTAGGGGTCCAAGTCCCTGCTCTGCTGTGTCGGGTATACTTGGGCCCAAGCTCAAGCTTGCAAATAAACCCTCGTGCTTTTGCATCGGTATCGGCTCCTTGGTGGTCTCTCGGATTTGAAATTGGGGGCATTACAAAACTGTCTTGACTTCATTTCCATATGCCGTCTTCTGTGTCTTTGTGTCTTCACACAAAATCTATCTTGAATAAATCTTTCTCCTATTAACCTGTGACTTTCGGTTTCATTTTCAGACACAGCCAGGAACCACAAAAGAGTCAAGGAATACTTTCTTCCACCTACAAGGGCCAGAGTGACCACCGCTGTAGCCCAGGGCTTCCCAAATTTCTTGTGCACAGGTATCTCCCTGGGATCTGGGGCAGACTCAGATTCTAATTGAGGAGATCAGAGCTGGGCGCAGAGAATGCGTTCCTAACGGGCGTCCAGGGGCGAGGTGGACACAGATGAAGGATATGCAGGACTGAAGAAGGAAGCGGAGCCCAAAACAGGTGTAAGTAGATGGGCTCCCCAAGGCCCAGCCAATCTCCCACGCCTTCCCAGGGCACAGACCCTAAGCATGACACTCCCTTCCCGGCACACGTGGCAGGATCTGGTTCACTTCCCGCCGTAGCGTCACAGGTCCATGGACACCACCCTCTCTGTACACAGGAGGGCCTAGCTCACTTCCTGCCCTGACGTCACACGTCCCCGGACACGGCCCTCCCCGCACACGGGGCAGTACGCCACTCACTTCCTGCGTGACGTCACAGGGCCCTGGACACCACCCTCCTGCATAAGGGGCGGGACCCTGTGTACTTCCTGCCGTGATGTCACAGGACTCTGGACATTCCAGGGTATCCTGGAGACCAAGGTCTTCAGGGCATGGTCTTCCTCCTTCAGCCGGAGGGAACATGGCAGGAGACAGAGGAGTGACCCTGTTTGTCCTGCTGCTGTCCTGCTGGTGCCACACGGAGCCCCAGCCCATCAACACGACTTCAGGTACAGTCACAGGTGGGTGGCTGTTGGGCGGGTGGGAAACGCACGTCTCCCTGGGGCTGAGTCAGGCCCCTCCCCACCTCCCCAGTTTCCCATCCATTTCTGGGAGAGAGTGAAGCGAGTTGAACACTCTTCTACCTTGAAAGTCC